TTTGCATTTTAAACCTTATTAAAATGAACAAAGGATTGGGAGGCCAGGTTGATTGTTGGCTCAAAATTTTATGAACGAAACTGCGGTTGTGGAGGGACGATCGTTAAAATCTTATGAACATTATATTTACGCGGGTATTAACGCGGAAAATTATAATTTGAATACCTTGGTAGGCTTGACGTTTCGACCCGGTTGCACAGGTCGTGGTCACAAGCAGACTGAAGACGCGATGTCACAGCTCCCTGCATTCGGGTGATGAATCTTCATCTACCCCCTTATTTTCATTTTCTACCATATTAGGCCGTCTACACACTACGCTGATTATATCCACAGATGTGTTAACCGACTTTGAAGGAAAGCGAGGTTGTGTTTTGCGAAGCACTGGATTCCACGTCGCCGACAATTTAAAGCCGTCCTCCCGATTGAAATTATTTGGGCATTTCTTTATTTCAACCGCTTCACGCACAAGTCTTGTATGGTAGTGGCGATCAGTGGAGAGAATTTGCGGTCGGTGGAATTCTACCCAGTGATTAGAACCAGCCTGGAGCAGGTGTTCTGCTATCGCTGATTTGTTGCTCTGTCGGTTTTTGACTGCGGCGATATGTTCTTTGAGCCTCTCAGCAATGGTCCGCTTCGTTTGCCCAATGTAGGAACTACCGCAGCTGCAGTTGATCTTATAAACACCTGGGCTTTGTAGCGGCAGTACATCCTTCGCCGTGCCTACCTTATCATGAAGTTTAACCTCAGGTGTGTAGATCGTCGGGATCGAAAACTTTTTAAGGACGGATCCTATCTTGTCTGTCACACCCTTGATATAAGGCATGAAGGCAGGTTGTCTGCTTACGTTTGGATGTCTGGCTCTCTTCAGCGGTCGCAAAAGTCGCCCATCCCCTACACTATATCCGTTCTTTTTAAGTACCTCCTGAACATGGTCTAGCTCTTGCCCCAGATGTTCAGGGTCACAGAGGTCATATGCTCTGTTTTTTAGTGATATCATCACGGATTGTAAGTGTCGGGGGTGGTGATGTGACTTTGCATGTAGGTACCGATCAGTGTGAGTTGGCTTTCGGTATACACAGTGCGATAAGGACCCATCTGATCTCGCGGTTATTTTAATGTCCAAGAATGACAACGACCTGCCCGTCTCCAGCTCATAAGTGAAACGCATTTTTGGGTGGATGCTGTTTAGGTGATTTACATATTGACGTACTTCTTGTTCACCTCCCTTGATAATGCTGAAAATGTCATCCACATACCTTTTCCAAAGCCTGATGGTATTTGGGCCGAGGCTCAATGCCTGTTTTTCAAAGTGTTCCATCCAAAGATTAGCTAACACAGGGGCCACTGGACTTCCCATGGCTACGCCATCGATTTGAAGGTAATGTTGGCCTTGAAAAAGGAAGTAATTTCCATCCAGGCAGTGTTTCAGCAAATCAATATAGTTGTGGGGCATGTCATTGACATCGCGTCTTCAGTCTGCTTGTGACCACGACCTGTGCAACCGGGTCGAAACGTCAAGCCTACCAAGGTATTCAAATTATAATTTTCCGCGTTAATACCCGCGTAAATATAATGTTCTTAAGATGAAACGCGAAAGTTTAAAAGTTAAAATCTTATGTCGGTAATTAAAAATTATTTGAATATTTTATTTATATTGTGCAGATGTATGTTTAGTTACTATATTATTAAGTAAACAAACGGATCAAAATGCGTAAATTAAATAAAATTAAGAAAGGAGGTCATAGTTTATTTTGATCCTTTTTTGCGAGCGGAAATTGCCCATGTTGAGGCAAGAGAGATTGTCAGACTCTTACTTACTAAAAACCCCATGTTCCTTCTTCTGCTTTAGACCGAGACCGCGGTGCCTTATTGCCCTTACCATGCAACCCCAGCTAGCTTTCTTTGATTATAAAGATAATATTAAAGGCAAAATATTTTATAGAGACAAGAAATAAAATCAAAGAGATCCAATACCGATTTGAAGAAAACCGAAATCATAGAAGCTTCACTTCCAATAAATTTTGATTTCTGACCGCGCAAACTTTTACGACTAAATCCCGAAAATCAAACGTTCGAAGACGGAATTACGATTACAATTTTTATAGGTAAGTAGGTACCTATTCTTCGTTTTTTTTTATTTCAAACACCCCGAATACAACAGAGGGGATGATCAAAATAATGGGATTTATCTGCGAGATTATGCTAGGATTATTCTGCCCAGAGTACGTAGTAAAAATTTTTCCGTACCTCAGTTGAATATCAGAAACCAGCCATTTAATAATAGACTTTAACATCAGTGACCCAAAGCTGAGTTTCGGATTGAGTTCACAGGTTGGGAATTTCATTTTGTCCCGAATAAAAATATCCTATACGACGGCTTTGCTTTATCATTGCGAAGTGGAGGTGTAATTAGTTTTCGCAAAGCAAGCTCAGCTTCCTTATTCTGGGATTTAGGGCGCCCCTTTTGTCCGGCTCTGTTAAAATAATTATTTCATTCAAGGAAAAAATGTTGGATGAATTTTAGATTCAGAAAGTTTGAAACATAAGACTCATTTTAATTATTTCAAAACTGTGCAATAAGAACTTATTCAGTTAACTTAATCTTTATTACACAATCTTTATTACTTACAAATATAGTTAGTAGATATAGTTATATCAGATAGCGTACCTATAATTTACCTAATTAAAGACTGCATTTTTTTAAATATAAAAATGTGGAATTTGTCGAAACTACTTACGTACTTACTAAAAAAACCATAATTACAATTATATTACAATAATTATTTATTCGACTTCCAAAAAAAAGAAAAATAATTTATGTATTTTTTTATAAAATACAATTGAAAATTTAAACAAAAATATACATTTCGCAACATTTTAATTTTCGAAATACAAATATGGAAAAAATGCAGCCAATCAGAATACGTGTGCGTAGGCGCGTTCGGATTAGCGGCCCGGAGCCCGTATTCGCGGGCCCACTGTGAAAAATTGAACCTTTCATTGTTTTAAATGTCGGATCGTGACGTCGAGCTTACTGCGTCCGTCCACAGATAATTATATCATCTTTTGACGAATGCCAACCCACTGCGTTATTAAAACGGGCGCGATTGCTATTTGTTTTATGAATGCTGATTTTTTAAAGAGAAATTGCAGGGGTGTTGTTTTTTTGTTACCTACTAAATATTACAATACTCTTTTTGTGTGAAAACTTATAATCAAGCCGGCAACGCGACTGTGATTCCTCTGGTGTTGACTCTTGGGTGGCGCTAACCACTTACCATCAGGTGATTCCTCCTGCCCGTTTTCTTCTATTACATTAAAAACCTTCTTCCTCTCCCCCAGTCCCTCCCCAATCCCTAAATCTCTTACGCACTCTCATTTCCTCTGGTATTGTAAGTGTCTTATCACATAAAAAAATACCTGGAAGATTCCAGTGGAAAATCATGAGTTGTTCATGCTGTTGCCGATTTAATATCACAATTAATAAAACTGTTACTTCACTTAAAAATTTTAGATTGAATAAAATTAGATACCTAAACAGTTTTGATTAAGACTTCTGCCATGAGCCAAATGACAATACTTATTGGCAATGTTGGCCATAATGCCACTCAACTTGGCTTATGGCAAATATCAAACGGCACATCAGGCCAAGTGGCACATTTAAGCGCTTGGCTACGGTGGTAAGAGTAGAAAAATAAAAATAAATGATTTTGGCAGATTTCAGTGTCATTCCCATATTATATTGAGTTTTTTACTCGCTAGTAGGACCAAGGTAGTAGAGTTTTTCCTAGCAATAGTCATGTGAATAGGTCAGTTCATCTGAATAAAACACAGAATCAATAACACAACAGAAACAGTATAAGTAACACACTATTAAAACAAGTGTAACGAAGATTTTTACTTATTAAAAGAATTTCAAGAAGTCTTTAGTGTGTATTTGTGAAACTGTGTAGAGATTCTTTAAAATTTTCATATTCTTAAAAAGCAATGAGAAAAGCAAGAAATTCGCAAAAATACCTACTGAAACCGAGAGAGTTTTAATATTAAATAAAACTATTCGATTAGTAACAAAAAATTAAGAGTGTTCGCACTAAATGTATTTTTTTTTTTACAATCTGAGTGAGTAGTACCTACCTTAAAACTTAGGTAAAACGAGTGGTCGTATTTCGCTATTTTTTGTTTTAAAAGTAAAAAATATTTTACCTCAATTTATAAATTATATGTATTTTCCATTACATAGTTAAACAGCAAGCATCTTAACGAAACATTTTTATTAAACAATATTGTCTTGTCCATTAAAAAAAACAGTAGGTAGATACACAATAAAAGCATTGTTTCATTGTCTTTGGTCACCAAGTCTCTGTTACTTATTGAGAACAAAAGATCGGTTTACAGTAACTCTCCAAGAATGATAAAGATGGCCATTCTCATTATAAATATACCTACCTACTTACATAAATTTTATTCATTGACAAATAAATAAATTTAGGTATTTAGACACAAGTATTTTCTTTACTTGATAAAAAATATAAAACACAATTTTAAAATAATGAAATGTAAATTACAATTTCATATTTCTATTTTTTCAATTAGGTACAAACCCTTACAATTTTTTTTCTATTTAAATTCCATTCCATTCCAATTCCATATCTACTACCCATAACAATAGGAACTGTAAACAAATTACAAATACCATACCAACCCATATTTATTTCCATCCATATCAATATTCACATACCTATCTACTTATGAGCGCGAACGCGAATTTTTTCACCAGCGAAAAATTGCTCGCGTATAAATGCATCGCTAGCACAATAAAATCCATCACGAATCATATTATTGTGTTACCTACACAAAGTGATTGTCACTCGGGGCACATGGCGGCTTGCGACGCCCGAGGCGGGGCTTACCACACCACGCCCACAGAAAAACGGCTCAAGCGATAAGGTCGAAATCACTATGGAGATTCTAGAGATTTTCGGCTTTACAGAACAGAAAGCCGCGAGAGCGCGCCGCGAGTGTGTGTCTGCCTTAAAACATAGTCGCCACCCGCGCCGGGCGCACGCTCGCCTTCCCAAAATCGGACTCGAATTTTTAAATTCGGTTTTCTAAATTTAATCCGAGTCGGGTTTTTCGGATTTCTAGTCGGTTCGTTGATTTTTTGTGTTATGCGTTGGAGGCTGTAATTTTTTGACAATGGAAGTAAGTGCGATGCCTCCTATGCCCCTGGACTTCTCAATGGTGAGGAATGGAAGTGGTTCTCCTAGTTCCATGCGGGAGGGATCGCCCAGACCTGTGACAAACAGCGCCTTCAGAGTAGTCACTCCAAAAGGTAGGAAAATACCTAAAAAACTGTTATATAAAATATGTTTTGTTTTGATTTTTTTTGTAATCATTTTATAATTATTGTTTTGAAAATAATTGCGGTTTTGTTTGTAATTATACGGGTATTCAAAATGGGTAAAATGCTTTTATTATTATATACAATCTGAAAAAACTAGTAGCTTCAAAAACGGTTGTTTATTATCAAAAATAATGTTTACCCTTCTCTTTTCAAACTTTGTTCTTAGTTTTTATTGAGTAAAACCTATAAAAACATCTGTTTTATATATACAGATAAAAATCTATGTTTAAATAACAGAAAAAATACCAAAAAGATTGATGCACTGCGTTCATCCAAAAAAGTTTAATAACAACAAACAGTTGCAAATAATTTTTGTCACACAAAAATGTTGCTTTTCTGAAATTGATGACATTAAATATGAATAAAAATAGAATGTAATACAGATTTGATGAAAATGTTGATAAAACTCAAGATCATTGCACAATATATCCAGTATTAGTCCAATTAAACGTTGATACTTTTAAAAAATATTACAAAGGATTGTTTTTGATAAAATAGTTCTTTTTTCTGTTTACCATTCTTCTTTTTTGCAGTGGTTATTTCATTTGATTGTCATTATATGGAATTTATAACTATTATTTTTGTCTTAACTTGATGAAGTTTCAATTAATAAATTATATAGATAGGTTTATGGTATATGGTTTGATTAATAAAAATAAAAACTATTTTAACCTCTTGTACTTAATTTACTCAGGCACGAAAAAAACTTCAGATTATGATTTAAATTTTTTCTCATTCATACAAAATTTTAAAATTTACTGCCACAAAAAAATATACCTACACATCTTGAAAAAATTGTTGGAATCAGAAAAGTTCCAATTCCATTTTATATTTTTAAATCCATATTTTATCTCTGAGAATGGAATAAATTATCCAATTTTAAAATTCACTTCAATTGACATTCCAAATTCAAATTATCCAATTTTGCTATGAGCTAGCTGATCACATAATCAATACGAGTGTCAAAGGAAACTTAATTGTCACCCCTCGACCCTTGACAAATGACACCCGACCACTATTATAACGCCGTTATTGGGTGCAGCAATACTTTTAATTAAGTTATAACCGAACCTATTGGGAATTCTAGCATAATTTTATGAGTGGGAACTGACTGAACGAACGAAAATACTCAATAGAGTCTATATTATTATTTGTAGAATGGTTATTTTTTCGGTTTTTCTCCGTTCTTGTGCTTTATTCTTTGACATACCTTTTTCTATTTTCTTCTGTGGTTGTTCAAATCGCTCATGTTATTATTTATATGTATTTTAAAAGCTAGTAAAACTATGTAACCTACTACAGGCATAGTATTGTAGCTTACAGAAACGCTTTAGAATAAAAAACTTTTAAGCTTTTTAATTTTCAGATTTAATATTTTGTTCATTTATTTTGTAACTTACATAAAAACCTATTAATAATTAAAGGTTTTTTTTTGAAGAAATACAAATATATCTCAGTAAAGTAGCTATTGTTGTGCTTAGTTGAAAAATTAAAAATTTCACAAATCATTGTATCTAATGAATTATCATCTACATGTACACACATTTTTCTACCATAATATCAATATAAGCATAACAATAAAAAGCTTAAATAGAAAACCCAAAAAAAAGATTGATAGAAGTCCTTTTTCTATCAAAAAGTCTTCATTCTCCTGTCCTATTAAAGCTGCTTCGCCTATCAGCATCATGTAAGCCAACATTTCTCTTCAAACACCTCACATATTCGCAGACAGACCCTCTAATTCTGATTGGTCAAAGGAAATTAAAGTTCTCACACGATACCAGAATATCAGAATACAAAGGAAACGATAACGGATACCTACCGATACTCTATGCAATCCAAATATTAATTCGGTATTTCCATTCTGAATTGTAAGATCGGAATTTTTTTTAATGGAATTCCAGAATTATAATTGGAATTGGAATGGAAATATGAATTTGGATTTCGTTTGGAGTTTTAATTTTTTTCTTTTATTATTAATTCTAAAACGTTACGCTTATGAGCCTATTTCTGTTTACCTGTACCTATTAAGTTATCGAATTAATTAGGTAAGTATGTAAATCCATGTATTTATTGACTTAATTAAATCATGTTCTTCGATTTCATATCTACAATATACTTAAGTATTATCAATTTTAAAATCCTGTAAGCTACAGGACAATAATATAAATATGTGTAATAATATGACTTAGTAAAAAACAATATAAATTAAATTATTAGGTTACCTATTTAATTAAAGACATTACAAAAAGTTGGGTCAAACTTAACTCTACTTACTACTTTTAACCCAGGATCTATGGTAAAGCTGATCAAACCAGCTTCGTCCGTAAGACATTAAGATACCTTTTATCCTAGACCAAAATTAATCAGAATATATAGTTACCTACAGTAATAGATAAAGAATATAATTATCTATAAACTAGGATATTAGGACAGGACAATATAAATAAATTCTAGTTTACATTAGCAACGTAGTTTTAACCTTACCTCCGATGGCAATGGATTCAAATTTGAATATTCTTCCATGTTACGTTTTTAATAAAGGTTTTAGATAATTAATAATTTTGTTACCACACACTAAATAATAGGTATGTATATTAGATAAGTTTAACCGTTACTTATTTATTTTAATCGCAGTTATATTATTATTTAATACTTTTAATAGGTATGGTTAAGGAAAATAACAAAAGGTTATATCAGAATAATTAGCAAATCTCAACGTTCACGTGTTATAAACACAAAATCGTATTGTTCGTTTATTTTAATAATTTATTTTATTTTATTATTTAATTATTTAGTTTTTTTTTTCTGTACAAAGTGATGGAAAAAGTGTTTGATTCATTTTGTTTTTCCTTTATATGAATGTAAAATAAAAATATTACTATTTTAAATAAAATACCTAATATAATGTAGGTATTTTATATTTACTCTACACTCTTTTATTCAATACAATCAGAAGTTATTATAAAATCCTTCTTAATTACATTATCTTAGAATTTTTACAAACTCATCGATATGCAAAAACCTTTTGAATTGTAAACAATTAAAAAAATATTAAAAAAGAAACACAAAAATAGATAAAATGCGCATAAAAAACCTTTATTACATTAGCAATCTCTACACCCATTCCATTGCAAAAGCATAAAGGAAAAATTAAAAAAAGGATGTTCCAAATATCATTCTAATCAACCCTACGCCAGCCACGAAAGGGCAAAAAGTACCACGGCGTAACAATAGCACGGTAACAATAATCCGGCGGGTCCTTTAGACCCGGCACGCGTCTAACCCTCCACTTTCAAAGTGTACTCAATTGTTAAATTACGAACATTTTTACCGGATTACGAAATTGTAATTGTTTTACGGGTATTTAAACTTTTGATAAGTTGGAAATTAACATACGTTTTTGTTTATTTCTTTTTAATTGGAGTTTGGTTTAAAAATGTTATATTACCTACTTACTTCTTTAAAAATAAATGTCTAAACCCTTCCTTTTCACAGTTTCCTTAGTTTGGTGATTTATTTATTTTTTTAACCTGACGTCTAAAACGAATTTATTTTAACATCCAACAAGATAATAATGTAATAATTACCGAAAAGAAGTCCTTAGCATAAATCCTAACAACAAAGAAGAAAAAAAAAAATTTTTAATAAAACATAAAAAGAAATTTACGCCTATATGATAAAAAAAAGTTTATTTCACAAAAAAAAATTCTAAGAAAATATTAATGCAACTATAGTAAAAAAAACTGATAGATAAATCAAAAAACATTTAAATACATGAATAAATTATAATGATTACAAATAAATAAAATAAACTTCAAATATAAAAAAAAATACGCAATCTCATTAAAATCAATGTGTACCTAGTTGCGTGTCGTATAGAAATAATGGCAAACCTAATAACGTCCAGTGTTCGATCAGCCAAATCCGATTATACCCGGGATCAGATGTCTCGACAACTAACGTAGATATTACACAATCCGGATAATATCCGCTTATTTATTAATTGTTTTTCTGTAATCTTTTTCTAAGATTTTGTTTTTGTTTGTTGTTTTTTTTTATTTGATTGGTTGGAAATATTAATTTGAATTTTTTTTTTTTGAAGTCTGCGTGATAGATTTTTTTTATTAGACACGAAAATTGTTTCTTCTTTATTTAAAGAGTGAAACAATTTAAATATCTTGTGACGTCACGATTTAGTAGGTACCTAGGTATTTACATTTTATTTATTTTTTATTGAGAGACTCTCTCACTCCTAAGATAAAAGTGCCTGGTAGATATTAATTTATTATCTACTTAATTATTGCTTTACGAGAACGATTTTTATAGCCTATGTAAAGTTTTTGTTGGAGTAACTTAATATAACAGTGAAATGTATTTAATTTTTAATTAAGCGGTACTAACTTCTCCCAATCGATTTAGATGCCGTTGCATGAATATGTTTAAGGTAATTGTATTTCCTTGATAAAGTAATTCATCCATGTACTTTGTTCAGAAAACCTTTTCAACTTTCAACTAGTTAGGTTTCAGATATTACTACTTCAAGAATCTGAATTTAATATTTATTAGAATAAATTAGGTAAATAAATAACTATAATAATGTTATGAAGCAGCATAATTATTTAATTTTAAATATGTCATATACTGACACGGTCGAAACATACTATTGCCACAAAACTATTCACAGTGACTTTAAAATGTACCGATTTTGAAAAAAACACTTACATTGTGAGAGTTTTCTTTAAATGTTCTAAACATTTAAATGTCCCATGATATAGGGATAATGACACATTAAAATCAAAATGCAGTAGCGGATGATGATAATAAAAAAAAGAGAATGACGATGGTATAAGAGTACTTTTTATCCTTATTATGGAAGAGCCATGCTTCGGCATCCATAGTACAGCTTAACCGCAGTGATACTTCGC